GAGAATTTTTTGATAGATCGTTTAGATTTTAAAGGAGCAATGTTATTGACAATGTCCAAGCAGGTATTACTGAAGATATTTAGATATGCGTCAGCATCCGTGCTTTCAGAGATCCGTTTCAGAGCAAGTGGTTCATTAGCTATATTATAGACAGTGGAAAAGTCCTCGCTGGCTGTGGATGAGAAATAACGAACCCAACGTGCCTGAGCCGGTTTCGTATTTAATCGACGAGATAGGGCAGTTGTAAAAAGTCACAGATTTATGATCGGAAAACCCATTGTCTCTTGTCACCATATCCATGATAGAAAAATCCATGAGCAAAGACCAAGTCCAGGATGTGGCCATGAACATGCGTAGGACATTGTATATATTGAGAAAAATTGAGAGTCCAATAAATGGCAGAAGTCTTTGGTTAACGGCTTACTGGGACAGCAGATATGAATGTTAAAATCCCCAAGCAATAAAATTCGGTCATATGTTGTTACTACATTCCCCAAAAATTCTGCGAATTCACTCAGGAATAAATCATTGAACTGTGGGGGCCGGTAAACAACTGCACATAGTACTGGATTTTCCGTGTTCATTAAGGACATTTGAACCTCGAAGCTCGCATAAGCATCTGTCGGAATGCAGCAACCGAGAAAAGAGTTTTGAACATGTCCGAGAAAAGGCCGAGAAAATTGCGTATGTATGACACGCCAATTCGTATTTCCATTTTTGGCGTGCTATATCAACACGCATAATCGCTTTTCAGCGTGTTTATGAACGCCGTTGACTTTACGTCATTACTGTATATATAAATATATGACTTATCTCAACCCCGTCCCTAAACCTAACCGTCACTGGGGTTAATGGCATTTATGACTGTTCCCTTACCATCCTAGGAAAAAAAGAGATCGCTCCCCAGATGTAGATCTACATTTTGCTTCATTTCACTCGGACATTTAAAGGCGTGTACAGACACGTGGAATCACTCGGACGTTAATGGCATAGACATACACGCATACACGCGAGGATAGCTGAAAATGCGTATAGATAATATGTATGTTCATGCAAAAGTCATGATGTCATGTTGAATCTAACGACTTTTTCTGGTGTTATTAGAGACTTTTGGAGACTCTCTGACGTGAAAGCACATAGGCTATCGTTTTTACTCTTCCCAACGAGCAGCCGGTGCTGCCGAGGGTCCCACCCCATACCAAATCACTCACAGGTGGCCCAGTCCTCACGCAGCAGCCCCTCCCAGCTCAGAGCAGGACATGTTCACTTCACTGCTCCACGTACAGACTTCAAAAGAATCGCGCAAATGAGTCGCTATTTTCAGCGGCTTTTCAGACCCCGACTTTTTGCTTTCTCCCTGCCGTCACTCACTCTAGCCAGGTCTACCCAGTTCAGTGAATGGGGACTCATCTGACACGCAGCCACTGACAGACGTGAATGAGTAGTGTTTTTCCACAGACTTATCACTTATCTGCTTTCTTTAAATAATAGGCTAATGTTTTTTTTTTCATTTAAATAATTTAGTTTCCTTTATTTTCTTGTGGTTACAGTATTAATTTTTTTCAGCTACTCGTTCTATCTAGCCTATTGACAAAAGTGACAAAAATATATAGGAAATGAGAACAGCTTTATTTTACATTCGGCTATATTGTACCACAATATATTAATTACAGTATGTGAGCGGAGCATTAATTTATAGAGAAAACACAAGCAGAACGCAAGAACGAAGCGATGACATCACGAATATGCAAATTAACGTATGACGTTATCTAGCGACATTTGGCGACTTTTAGGGAAGGCGTAAGCTACTTTCATTTGAAAACAGTTGGCAACACTGTGCGCACGTACGATCTGCAGCAGAGTAAGAGAGAACTGCCGTGGGTGAGTCGGTTTCCTGTAAGCTCCGTACTAAAAGTGGAAAAATTTATAATTTCATCTTAAATGGTTTATGATTATTTGATGGATTGTTCATAAGAGACACAGACTAACTTGTAAAGAGTGTTTTCCGTCAATATTTGTGAGTGTTTTGATTGTTTTATGTCTGCGATTTCCAACTGCATAATGTTTGCCATGTGCTTTCTAACGAGGTGAAATGTGTCTTGGATAGGTGGAGCTGTCAACGTAACGATTCGCCATTTTCTCTCTTTTACTGCTCTGTGTGCAGGTAAATGTTTTATTATATAGTATTTAGTAATTTACTGTTCATAAAGTTGTATTTTCTGTGTTTTATAATGTAGCTATGTAATTCATGGTTTAACTGAATCTATCAGATATTATTTTCTGAAACGAAATTGAGTTATTTACTGTATTTTATTTTTATCATAATTTTTATTTTTCATTATTTCTTATTTTTATTCTAAAATGTTTTAATTATTCTGATGTCTTTTGATTATTTTAATTTCTTCTATGTAAAGCACTTTGAATTGCCATTGTGTATGAAATGTGCTATATAAATAAACTTGCCTTGCCTATATAAGAAGAATGATAAGTGTTATACGATCACAAACACCAGAAAAAGGTTAACAGTATGTAATTGACTAGAGAGTTTATTACATTTCATAATTGTTTTGTTTTTGTTTGTTGTTTTTGATAAAAATTTACTGTGAATAAGAAATGTTCATTAAGATATTGAGTAGAGCAGAGTAAGAGAGAACTGCTGTGGAAGTGTGGGTGGAGCTGTGAACGTAACGATTCATCATTTTCTCTCTTTTATACGGTGGCCGAGAGGTGCAAAACAAATCACAATTATGAAAACAAAAAAACAAGTCAGAAAACAAAATAACAATTCAGAAAACACAACAACAAATATGAAAACAAATTAACAAATCAGAAAACACAAAAACAAATCTGAAAACAAATTAACAAGTCAGAAAACACAATGACAAGTCAGACCAAACGGAAAAGGTAGGTATATGTGGCGAATGGAATACTGATCGCTGATTGGATGAGACATCTGTCAATCACAGAAAGTACAGCAGACTGCGCCTGCGGCAGAAGAAAGATTGATTCGCATGTGTATGTGTAAATATTAGCTGTCTATTTAGCCGGCTAATTTAGTGATATTATGGAGAACAAAACTTTTCAAATCAAAATCTTCCTACCACTATTAGTAAACGTAACTCCTTTAAGCTTGCGTTCAGTTATCCACTGGACCACGCTGCCTAGTTCAAAGTAAACTAGTGAAACAACTGAAACCAGCGCTATTTTGTTCTCTATTTTTTCTTACTGACCGAGAAACCGCTTCAGATGATTCAGTGACAGAACGGTCCGAACGAATCTGAATCGTTTCCTACTGTTATGCACGCGCGTTTGGCCAATTCGTGAAAAGGAGATAGGAATCGAACCAACGAATGATTAATATCGCTGGTTCAGTCGACAGAAATACGGGACACACATATTAACTGCTGAAATATTCGGACTGAAAACGTTTTTCTCAGGTCAGTCCGAGCACTCGTGGTACACACACAGTGCGTATACAGCTGCACGCGCCACTGCGGCCACGCGCATATCAAACCAAATTTAGCCGCACCACCAGAAAATAGGAGTGGGAGGTTGGAGTGCTCTCGGGCCGCATGGAGATGATTGGCGGGCCGCACTTGGCCCGCCAATCATCTCCAATTGAATAGCTTGTTTTCACGTGACGTCACGCCACTGCGTTGCCATGGCGCGAAACGCAGATGGAGGGCAGGAAGTGATTTTCTATATTTAGGAAGCACTAGAACACACTCAAAATGCCTATGTTTTGCGTCGTTTATGGTTGCTCAAATCGATCAAACCACGAAGAGTTTTTATCGTGTGCCAAAAGTTGTTGTTCATAAGGGGGGGAAACACAAGAAATTGACAGAAAACACCGGGAAAAATGCCTTGCAAACCTACGTCTGCGGTCAGGAGGAGCCGAATGGGAAAATGCTTGCGTGTGTGTGTGTGCAGTGATCACTTCGTCAAATGTGAGTATACATTATTTATGTGGCTTACAATTACATTATTCAGGTGTTTAAATACACTTATGTGGCTGTTTGTGTAACGTACCAGTTTCCGAACTTTGTAAAGTCAAAGTATGTCTGTAAGACGAGTTAGTTGCTGATATCTACAGCCTCGATGGCAGGCAAATCTCTCAATTCAGTTGAAAATCGGTCCTGTTCATAACGTGAGGATCACGTCCAACATATGTTTCGATTTTCTGTTTATATATTTCTCTTGTAATAGCGTCTAAAGTAGTACAGTACGGATTTTTCTCCATCTCGTCCATTGCGCTCTTCACTCCTTGCCCTCCATCTGCATTCCACGCGTCAACACAATCACGTGACTGCAAACCACCTATAGCCCTAGCCTAGACGAAAGAGCTAATATTTACACATGCACACGCGAATCGATCTTTCTTCTGCCTGTATGTCTTGATTGACAGATGTCTCGTCCAATCAACGATCAGTATTCCATTCGCCACATATACCTACCTTTTCCGTTTGGTCTGACTTGTCGTTGTGTTTTCTGACTTGTTAATTTGTTTTCAGATTTGTTTTTGTTTTCTGATTTGTTAATTTGTTTTCAGATTTGTTATTTTGTTTTCTGAATTGTCGTTGTGTTTTCTGACTTGTTTTTTTGTTTTTATAATTGTGATTTGTTTTGCACCTCTCGGCCACCGTACTTTTACTGCTCTGTGTGCAGACAAGAAAATTAAGCTTTGTCATCCACGTTTCGAGTTTGTGTGTTGATGAAGGATGGGACAGATCAGTAACCAGAACCCAGAAGTCACATCTGCATCTGGGCAAAAATACTAAATACTAAAAAAACCTATTAAGAGCATAAATGTAAATATAAGTGTAACTGTTCTGAATAATGAAAATGGTCATATAGCAAAACTAAAAACAAAAACCTCCCACAGTTTGTGTTAAAAAATCTTTTTAGATGTTTTGGAAATATTTGTAAATAGTTTGAATTGTAGTTATCGTAATCTTAAAAGCTCATTTCTGAAAGCGTACAAAAAAGACCTTGAACAATACCTTCATCACTTCTCTCTTTCTGTCTTTCTTTGGGTTTTCCATCATTTTCTTGATAATGCTCCTCATTTTCTTCCTCAGATCTGCTCGGCTCTTCATCCACCGATGATTCTTTAACATCATGAAATATCTCACATGTGAGATAGTCTTCCTGGTTTTCCTCGATTATCTTATCAACACTCTTGAAAATCTCAGAACACCATTCTGGGTTTCTTTCATCAATCTGCAGATGTCTTCCTCCGCACTCCTTTATTAACTCATGAATCGATTTATTCTCAAAATAATAACCCCATGATATGTATGACTCTTTATCAGTCGTGATCACAATAGTGCGTTTAATGGCCTCTTCACTGAATTGTTTCAGCACATATTTCACTCTTCTCATGTCCTCCTCAGTGAAGTCTTCATACTGCAGTACGAGTATGAAGGCATGAGGTCCTGGATCAGACAGAGACACACACTCTCTCACGGTCTGTGTGATCTGATGAACTGAGATGTGTGTGTGGAGCAGCTGAGGACTGTTGATGACCATCACATGTCTGTCCTTCAGTCTTCCATCTTTCTGACTGCACAGCTGGAACGGTAGAACTTCACTGTCAAACACATCTTTCCCCAAGATGAAGTTTCCCACTCGACTGTTTTCTGACACACTCTTCCCCAGCAGAACAATCCTCAGATCTCTCACTGAAACAGAGACACAAGAGACATCAAAACAGTGTCCTGCAACCTGATGCTTCTTTGACATAACTTTTATACTTCATCCACTGATATTGATAATTAGGGTAAACATACCTATTAAGCTCACCAAAATCTACACTGAGACATTTTTAGTGCACAAGATATTGGTTTTAGTACAAGAAGTTATTTTAAAATAAAATATTAATCTCTCACACTATATTATTTCATTTTATTTTAAATGACAAATTAAGATGTAGATCATTAAATATAAAAAGTCTGGCTGTGCCTAATGGGTACATTTTGTACCCTTTAAAGAGTAACTAAACACTTAACCAGCTTTTTTTAGTTAAAGGTTTAGTTCACCCCAAAATGAAAATTAAGTCATTAATTACTCACCCCCATGCTGTACCAACCCCGTAAGACCTTCGTTCATCTTCGGAACACAAATAAAGATATTTTTGATTGAATCTGAGAGCTGGATCAGTCCTAGATAGACTGCCTAAGGGACTGGCTCTTGACGGCCCATAAAGTCATTAAAGAAAAGGTTTAAATATTCCATGTGCCTACAGTGGCTCAATTATAAGTTTATCAAGCGCCGAGACTACTTTCTGTGCGAAAAAAACATAAATAACGACTTAATTCGACTATTCCATTACTTCCTTATGGGCGCATGCACGAGAACTGAGAGGAGGACGTTCTCATTCGTCTACTTCTTGTTACTGGCTGCTCACCGCTTACGAGTTTTACCGCCACCTACCGTATAAGATGATGTGCTGATATAGCTGGAAGCGCAAAACTTTCTGTTTACAAGCAGAGGAAGATGCGCGCTGTACATACGCTTTTCAGTTACCGTATTTTCCGCACTACAAGGTGCACTTAAAAGCCTTTAATCTTCTCAAAAAACGACAGTGTGCCTTATAATCCGGAGCGCCTTATATATGGATCATATATGGATTTTATACAGTAGGTGGCGGTAATACTCCTAAGCGGTGAGCAGCCGGTAACAAAAAGTAGTTGAAGGAGAAGAACGTCCTCGTCTCAGTTCTCGTGCATGCGCCCATAAGGAAGTAATATAATAGTCGAATTTAGTCGTTATTTATGTTTTTTTCGCACAAAAAGTAGTCTCGTCGCTTGATAAACTTATAATTGAGCCGCTGTAGGCACATGGAATATTTAAACCTTTTCTTTAACCCCCTGAGCCCGACGGCGTCGTCGACGATGCCACACGTCACCTCCGATAAATGTTTACATAACTCGATGACAGATTTATCGATTTTCTTACCGTTTTTTCCAGCAGAAAGCTAACGAGCTAGCCATCACGGGGGTGTCTTTCGGGTCTTTCTAGCCTTTACAGAAGGTTTTCTATCCAGCCTGGAACTTGTGCTTCCTTTCAGAGGTTTTCAGCAATAAATCCAAACGCTTTATGTCAAACTTTGATAATCTTGAAGCCCATAATTCATAAATATTCGGTCATTTTTGCCGCTAGCTTGATGCTAGCGGACATCCTGGATATCACGTGATGTTTTCACGTGATGGTTTTTGACCAATTACAGGCTGATCCGTTGTAAACATTGGTGTGCGTCATTACGCATGAACCAAGCGCTGATATAGTGTAGAGAGATAGAGAGACTCACGGAGACGCGCGATTCACAGAGAAACACAGCGAAATGGACGTAAATAAAGCGCGGGTCTATTTTGGTGCATTGCAGGATGAAGGATTTTCAGGAGAACAGAGCTTTTTGACAGATGAGGAACTAGATTACCCGGATAGACCCAGCTGAAGTGCCATTTATTTATTTACTGTAAAAAAGTATTATAGTAGTATAAATGTATTATAAAAGAATAAAAAGAACATAATAAATAAAAGAATAAATAAAATAGAAATGCAAAACCTGTGATGTGGCCCTCTGTGTGATTGCTGATAGGAACTGTTTTGAGGCTTGGCACCAGTGAATTTCATGAGGCCCCAAACGCCTGGACTTCTTTTGGAAAAATGTCAATATTTTTTGTTCTGTACAAGTTATAATGTTTATTCCTGTGCTCCAGGACTCCAAAGACATGAACAAACTATTTTCCAGAGGAAAATTGCTTAGCTTTTATTTATTTGTGTGTGATTTCAATAAATAATTGAGTGATTCCATTTCCGATTTATTTTTTAATTTGTCTTTATGGTCCCATAACTTATTTTACATTCAGGTGACATCAATGTAACACAAATATGCTGAAAGTTCAATTTGTCCTGAAAAAAAAGAGGTGTGTCAATTGTCTGTGCACCAAAGGGTTGATATTTTACAAGCTTTTTTAGTAAATGACACCAGACGGAAAATTTATTGTAAAAATACCCTTAGGTCTCAGAGGGTTAATGACTTTATGGGCCGTCAAGAGCCAGTCCCTTAGGCAGTCTATATAGGACTGATCCAGCTCTCAGATTCAATCAAAAATATCTTTATTTGTGTTCCGAAGATGAACGAAGGTCTTACGGGGTTGGTACAGCATGGGGGTGAGTAATTAATGACTTAATTTTCATTTTGGGGTGAACTAACCCTTTAATTATCTGTAAGAATGGATCTTTTTTAATACCAGACTACCAGTCATTGATTCGAGTAACTTTTTTGGCATTTGTTTATAAAGTGTTCTATTTCTACAATATACGGTGTAAAAACGTCTTAGTGCTGCCCTCTTCAGGTTGAACGGTGGCTACTGCAGTTGAATTTTCCTATTGGATGTTTGCGGTGGTACGTGACACAGCGGTTGTTGGTGACGTAGGCAAGTTCCATACAAAGAGATGCGTCTCAGGTGCACGCCCCCCTCCGCTGGGCCCTGCCCACTTTTCCAGCATTTTTTAAATATTGCCAATGGGTGGAGTCAGGCTCTGACCAGGGGTTTAGTTACCCTTTAAGCACACCGCTATTCCCAATAAGCTCACAACATGTTTTATGTTTATTTTAAACAACCTTTTTAAAGGGGTCGTGTAATGCCATTTTGTACAAGTCAATATTAATGTTTAGGGTCTAAATGAAAACTTTGTAATATACTTTTATTGAAAATTCTCATTAGTATTTTAATAAAACACTAATTTTACCTTTACCGTTTTCAGTAAGCCATTTCAGTGCATTTGCCTTTAAATAATAAACCCCGCCCCTCTGTTCTGCGGCGACAGCAGCACGTGGAGTGTTGCCTTGACAACAGTTGAGGGATATTTTGGAGAAAGAATGGCAGCGGGAGTCTTTGAGGACACATCTGTGCAACCCACTGATCTATATAATGACTGGATAGCTAGGCAGTGAAGCCACCGGAATTGTTTGAGCTGCCATCTTACGATTCCCTACCAGCAGAGGGCTCCAACGGCGGTTATACTGAGATAGGTAGCTCCGACGGCATTTTTAAGATGATGCTGTCAACAAGTGTATTGTTGATACACTTGTGCATCAACAAGTGTAAAACGAAGATCACAAAAGGATATACAAAAACTGGCCACATTGTAATTTAAGCCCATAATTAGTAATTTATATGCACAACTGTCGCTATTTCAGTGTTTTTAAAAAAAATGTTTATAGCCTACTTTCAGGGGCGGAGCTAGACTCTCAGTAAAGTGGGGGCGGAGCTTCATCATGGAGCCCTCTGCTAGCAAGTCATTTTAAAATTAAAACCGTTAAAAAAAGTAGATGAATGCATATAAGAATGTGTCACTTGTTGAGCCAAGTAATCTTATGTTAAATAAAACACAAAGAAAAGCCACATTTTTTTTACAAGTTTGTATTGACGAACAAAGAAAACAGTTTGCCAGTCAAGTAAAAATGTTTCAGCACCACAAACAGCGATATCTCATTGACAGCGATGGTGCTCGTAGCACGTAGACAGCGACGTTGCCATAGCAGAAATGCAACGTGCCACAGACGTTACCGCAACGTAAATGTGTTTGCTGGGTGTACTTTGCCTGGGCCCCTTTCCTGTCAGTAGCTGCGTTTCCATTACCCTTCAAATTGAAATTGCGAAATGAAAATACGCTCAATGGAGCATGTTTTACGCTCGCATGAGGAGGTTTTTCAGGCAATTCGAAAAAGGATTTTTTCGCAAAACTGCAATGGAAACGAATTTTGCACATTTCCAGTCACCTGACTTAGAAGACTGTTTTAGGACCGTGTCCGCAAATAATAGCCTAATAATATTTATCATCATTAGCCTATTATAACATTTATTAGGCTACATGTACAAGACGCTTTTATCCAAAAAAGGAACAAAGCAATTCGTCACATCTCATTCATAGTACAGGTTGGAAAATAATAATAATAGGGCTAAGATTATCACAAATAAACACTCGATTTTGTCCAATATCCAAGAGTGTGTGTGCGGAGTTTGGAGCACGCACTGGATGGCAGACAGACGCAGGCGCGCAGTGAACTCTTGCATTTTCCCATCAACAGTGGAAACAACTTAAAATACTCTATCATTTCTGGTTATACAGAAAATAATAATACATTATTCGCAACTAGTTTTATTTACGTAATGTCACAATAACAAGAAAACGTTGTGCTTTTGTAAAATAAAACAATCAGGCGCGCTTTATGATCTTCGTGAACTGGAGCGCAAGAACTGAAATAGACTAAAGCTTTAAATGTCCACTTTAAAAAGAACAAATTCGAATCGTAAGTTATGTTTTTAGCTTGTTATTTTTTCAGACGCATTTATAATAACTCACCTATACAGCACTGCGGGGAAAATATCATAAATATCCAGGTTTCTTATTTGGCCTTAGAAAACCAGTAAAATCTAAAAATTTTTCCCATATTAATTTTTGAATATTTTAAATGTCTTAAAGGGGGTAAAAAGTCATAAACAAATATCTGAAAATTCGTTAGCGCAGCATTGGTGTGGTCAAACTAAAATATTGGTGTTCAACTTTGTGTTTTAAAAATACAACAACCGTTCATTTTTCGTTTTGCAACGACCGTTTGGACATAATACGAGATAGAGTTATTCATTAAAAAAAGAAACAATAATTACAGAAATAGCCTCTCTAAATTTTAAAGAAATGCCATCAAGACATCGAAGCAGAAATAGGGGAGAATAAACACCAGGAACTCTGTGTCCTTCCCTGCCATTAATGCTTGGATAACACACCACGTCTCCTTCCATTAATAATAATAATGTCTAGTGCGGTGGATGGCTGTGAAATAGACCTACCAAAGTCCGTTGCCATGATTTTTGGAATGACTTATCGCGAGAGGAAAAAAAACATTTTAGTCGCATAACGGTTAATGGAAACACCGTCATTTCGCAATAGTTTTTTATCGACATTTGGAAAATATCGCAAAAGTTTTGCGCAAATCTGTAATGAAAACGCGCCTGTGACGCAAGATCCGCTACAGCCTATCCGCTACAGCCTACTTTGCATTCTTTCACAGACGTATTCAAGTTTAAACCTAATAAACGTATTATTAAATGCATAACTTATTATTAATTTAATTAAATGCATTTATTTACTATATTTTCATGTCAATCCATGTTCAGTTTGACCACGAACCATGCAATGTCACTTTTTTTCAGCACCTGCAGCACAGCAGAAATAGACTAGGTGCGGGAATGACCTCCAATGTGTTTTTTTCTTGATTTTTGGGTTTCTATCTTAAATCTGATTTTGGCCACCTCACAGTTTCTCAGATGGGTCAAACCAAAGATATTACCTCAGAAGTTCAAGTTAATGCACTAGAAATCCATGCTCATTCAAGGGTGTGCATCTACTGCATGGATGGAGAGTCAATATAGCTATGTCTGTGATTGGCTACAATGATCAATGCGTCAAAAACATGTCGTCACCAACTGCCTTTCCTATAAGTGTTTGAAAGCAGGCGTCTATCAGAGGATCCCTAATATATCCACTGATAAACTGATCCGCTGATAGACGCCTGCTTTCAAAACACTCCTGTGTGTATGTGTAAGAGCTTTGAAGTTGGTAGTTCAGAATAAACTTTAGTTCTGTCTAGATTTTGTCATCTAAAGGCTGTGAAAAAAAGTTATTAATTATTAATTATTTAATTACATTAAAGTGACAGCCATCAGTTAATATTAAAAGTCTGTTTATGAGGTATTTAGACGATTGATGTGGATGAGCTTAAAGGGAGCACAATGAGCTTAATTGGAGCAGCAACATTTTTTGTTACATGAGTAACCAGACATTTCAGTTGCTTTTAGTTTTCACTTTACAAATTCTCAATCAAGGCCAATAGCTTTTGTTTGTTAAATATTTTGGTCATTTTTTTATATGATCAAAATTAAGTAAATTTGTTATGAGAATATTCTTGATAAGTATTGCTGACAATTGACTTACCAAGCTTCTGAGAAGTATTTTCTTCTTCTCTCTCTTTCTGTCTTTTGTCTTCAGATCTCGTGTCTTCTTGTGTCGCTGATGATCCCCGTTTTGTCTTAAATTCACGAGCGATTATTTCATCCACTTTTTGCAGTATTTGAGAGTGTTGTGTGTTTTGAAGTTGAAGACGTCGTCCTCCACATTCTTCAGTTATTTGTTGAATATGTTCATTTTCAGATTTCTGTTTACCACTGCGCGTCTCATCATCAGTAGTCAGAATCATTGTGATCTTCATCGCCTGTTCACCAAAGCAGTTCAACACTGAAGGTATTCTGTCTCTTTTCTTCTCACTGAAATCATCATGCTGCAGCACCAGGATGATCACATACGGTTCAGGAGGACACACTGCTGACACTTTCTGTGTTATTTGTGACAGTGTGAGAGATGATTCGAGCAGATGAGTTGTGCTGATGACTGTGATGTTTCTCCCCTCCACTATTTCTCTGAGCTCCTCTACATCATAGGATGATTTCTTTCCAAACACTTCTTTATTTAAGATTATCTTTCCCACTCTGTTGTTTTCTGATGCGTTCTTCCCAACCAGAACAATCCTCAGATCACTCACTGAAACACAACACACACACACACACACACACACACACACACACACACACACACACACACATATACATCATTTTATCAAATAGCAGTTGTACAATTATTATTTTATAATACTGAATCAAATAATATATACACTCACCGGCCACTTTATTAGGTACACCTGTCCAACTGCTCGTTAACACTTAATTTCTAAGCAGCCAATCACATGGCGGCAACTCAGTGCATTTAGGCATGTAGACATGGTCAAGACAATCTCCTGCAGTTCAAACCGAGCATCAGTATGGGGAAGAAAGGTGATTTGAGTGACTTTGAACGTGGCATGATTGTTGGTGCCAGAAGGGCTGGTCTGAGTATTTCAGAAACTGCTAATCTACTGGGATTTTCACGCACAACCATCTCTAGGGTTTACAGAGAATGGTCCGAAAAAGAAAAAACATCCAGTGAGCGGCAGTTCTGTGGGCGGAAATGCCTTGTTGATGCCAGAGGTCAGAGGAGAATGGCCAGACTGGTTCGAGCTGATAGAAGGGCAACAGTGACTCAAATAACCACCCGTTACAACCAAGGTGGGCAGAAGAGCATCTCTGAACGCACAGTACGTCAAACTTTGAGGCAGATGGGCTACAGCAGCAGAAGACCACACCGGGTGCCACTCCTTTCAGCTAAGAACAGGAAACTGAGGCTACAATTTGCACAATTTAATCGAAATTGGACAATAGAAGATTGGAAAAACGTTGCCTGGTCTGATGAGTCTCGATTTCTGCTGCGACATTCGGATGGTAGGGTCAGAATTTGGCGTCTACAACATGAAAGCATGGATCCATCCTGCCTTGTATCAACGGTTCAGGCTGGTGGTGGTGGTGTCATGGTGTGGGGAATATTTTCTTGGCACTCTTTGGGCCCCTTGGTACCAATTGAGCATCGTTGCAACGCCACAGCCTACCTGAGTATTGTTGCTGACCATCTCCATCCCTTTATGACCACAATGTACCCAACTTCTGATGGCTACTTTCAGCAGGATAATGCGCCATGTCATAAAGCTGGAATCATCTCAGACTGGTTTCTTGAACATGACAATGAGTTCGCTGTACTCAAATGGCCTCCACAATCACCAGATCTCAATCCAATAGAGCATCTTTGGGATGTGGTGGAACGGGAGATTCGCATCATGGATGTGCAGCCGTGTGGCAACTGTGTGATGCCATCATGTCAATATGGACCAAACTCCCTGAGGAATGCTTCCAGCACCTTGTTGAATCTATGCCACGAAGAATTGAGGCAGTTCTGAAGGCAAAAGGGGGTCCAACCCGTTACTAGCATGGGGTACCTAATAAAGTGGCCGGTGAGTGTATATATTTTTTTACTTACTGTTGGGACGATCACCATCGGGACTGTGGTCTCTTGGATGTTCTACAAGAAAAAAAAATCATTAAAAAAATACTATCAACAGTTGTTAATGAGCCAAAGGACAACTTTACTATTTTAATCTGATGTTTAAGTTCAAAACTTTTGTTCTCAAATATGAGTCCAATATAGAATAAGAGAATAAGTTTTATACAGTAATGAAAAACATTATATGTTTGGCATTTGTGGATAATTTAAAACCTAATAGTTTTACACATTTTGTATGAAAATTGAATTGAAGATCTGATTATCTCTGTACGTATTACTTGATTTACCCAATGGATCAATTACAATCAAAGACAATGAGTTAATGTATAACATTCATCAAATATTTGTTGCCAAAAGTGTATAGTTTAGAGACAGTAACACATTCAACATTTCTCATCAACATAATGCAAGTCTTGTTTTATGCTCTATAATGCAGTATAAGTGCATTCGAATCTGTAAAATTCATTGTTTAATAACGATAAGAGGTAAGCGTTCACTTTGATCTATTCTAAAAAACATTATAAACAATATTTGATAAAAAATAATCAGCATTTCATATTTTGTTAATTTTGGGGTAGCCAGCTGTCAAATATGCCACACAACCTCAACCACATAGTGTAAAAGATAACACTTAAATTCACTTCCCATGGATTAAAATGAATTAGTATATTTGAAGAGTTCAGATGCAAAAGCCTCTAAGTGCCATTTGAAATTTTCTTCTAGAATGATCATTTTTGTCAAGCTTATATATTTAAGTTCAGTGATTTCACTTAAATTGCAATGAAGATTACCTATTAATTGTCATTTAAGTGAAATTACTGAACTTAAATATACAAGCTTGATAAAAATGATCATTCTAGGAGAAAATTTCAAATGGCACTTAGAGGCTTTTGCATCTGAACTCTTCATTTATACCGGTTAGCATTTTGTTGTTTTATTATTTTTGAGAATATTATGATTGAAGATATTGTTCCCTCTACCTTCAGCTCATGATTATAGTAATTTTGGCTTATATTTATTCACTGTAGAACTAATCCACTCCTAAACACACTGTTACGTTCCATGCGTGTTTTGTGTTTTATTTTCATTGTTCTGTGCACGTTAGTGTACTTCGCACGTGTTGGTTGTTTTTATTTATTTAATCAGTTTAAAGTTACAGGGATCGTGCACATTAATAAACGCTTACATAAATGTGCCAGTTTAGCCATCTTGGCTAATTTTCAACTGTAGTCACTGGGGAGATGTAATAACCGATAAAATACATTCAGACAATCAACAATACTTCATTAAACACATTTCATAAAAGTTCATAAAATACATTAAACAAGGACAACAATCAAAACATGATTCAGATGATTTAAAAAACTACAGAATATGGGTACACACTTGATTGTCTTTTAACCATGATTTTAATTTAATCTTAAATAGCCCATATGAAACAACATCTCTAATAGACGTAGGTAAACTGCTCCAAGTGTGAGCTGCTCTCACAGAAAAAGCTGACTGTCCAAAGGCAGTCCTTCTCATTTGTATTACACAATCCCCTCTTGTTACAGACCTCATATGTCTAATAACAGTAGTTTTTTGTTTTATAAAAGCAGTTAGTGGTGGGGGAGCTAAGCCATGTAAAATTTGAAAAACAAGACAAGAGTCTGTGAATTTAATAAGATTATCCCAAGTCATTAAATTGTGTTTTTTTAGACAGTGGCAGTGATGATGGGTATTAGGCTTCCTAAAGTACCTTAGAAGCTTGATGGTATGTAACTGCACATGTTTAAGGGTTGTGCTGGAGGCTTGTGCCCAGCTAGTCAAACAGTACAACAAATATGGCATGATCATAGCATTAAAATATATTGTCGCTGCCTTTGTAGTCAGACAATTTCTTATATGACGGAAATTTGACATGTTAAATTTTACTATTTATAACTTTTTTATTTTGTTTTTTTAAATGTTAAATTCGAATCAATTATTATACCTAAATATTTGAAATCAGATGCCATTGACAGTTATTCCCCTACAATATAAATATTTGCTACAGAATTATCTGTTGACCTCTTTGTGAAGAACATACATGCGGTTTTCTTTATATTTAAATAAAGACAGGAATCACTAAGTCATTGCATAACATCGTCCATCACTGCGTTGAGCTCATTATCTTCTTTCTGGCCCTGTCCCAAATGGCATGCTCCGGACTTGTGGACTTCCTCAGAGTCCACATTCGGTGACGTCATGTAGTGCAGACCTATAGACGAATCCGACGAGCGTTCTTGTGTAGGCTGCCATCTTGTGGCGACGCCATTACTGAGCTGTTACACCGGCATAGACATATGCACCGGTATGTAAACAAACCTCGGAGATAAGGTGATAACGCACCCTTGATGACAGCTACAGCCAGGCAGACTTGTTGGGTTGATGATGTTAGACATTGGCCTCCAGTCACAGATGAAGGTACAAACGATCTTACAGATTATTTATGAAAATAGCTTGGCAAGCTAGCTAGGCTAACGTTTGCTACCGAGGAAACTATAAAAAGATCTGTCCATTTGGCAACAATAAATAAATAAATAAATGAAATCAAATAAACAATTTCATGTTTTTTATTTGTGTCCATTATTTATCTCATTTTTACATTGCAACGGGCAAGGGTAAGGTAACGTTACAGCTAGAAAGTATACATAATATCGACCAACTACTGTTTTTAAACCATGGAAAGAGGTCAATATAACAGCAGGAGAACAATTATGTCACATAACGTTACATTCAGCTCAGGAAAGCCATTTAATGACCATAGCATGTAAATTGAATAGAAAAAATAACAAGAGAGGAGATTTTGCTGATCACTATATCACAAATTTATTATATTTTTTTACTTATGTCATTAAATAATTGTTATTATACGCGAATGTCCGCGTCTTGTACTCGCCCAGGAAATCTGTAAACCGTACGGCACCAGACAGAGGCAGTCGACCCGGGGTATTCACAGTGTTTTCTCTTCAAAATTGAAATTTTACTGCCACCATTAAAACAATTTATAACGGAAACTGTTTACCCACTCGACATTATACAAGGGCTAACGTTGTAACGTTAGTGACAGTCGTAAATCGCGGGCTGTTTATTCCAGTGGACGCAAGTTGCAACTAAAACAATAGGAGGCAATGGCGCAACGCTACCCAGCAACAGCTCAGTAATGGCGCCCTGCTTACTTCCGGTAGTTTCGCCGGATTCGTCTATAGGGCCCTTAGCTCGAGCCCGCGAGGGCGAATTGGGAGGTATTTTAGGGACAGACTCGATCGCCATCCCGGAAACAGGAAGTTCAATGCCATACGATTCCAAAAGTGACAGAGCTGAAATACAGAGCTGAATAAACTAAAATTCATCAGTCCCTTTATTAGAAAAATATCACAAATATTATTTAAAAAATTACAGTCTTTAGCATCGAAAACAGGATATATTTCATTTTCACAAATATTATGTCCATGTGAACTAGCCTGTTTTTACAGTTCTATAATTGTATGCCACCTGGGCATTAGAATAGATGTCATGGCTATGTAAATGATAAATACAGTTGTACATAATAATACATAATGTTAAATTTTAACACAAAATGAAAATGAGTTTAAGAAAAATGTAAAGGTTTCAATATTCATTTTGCATTTATATGACTCAGTAAAGCCATGACATTCGGTTTTATTTATGTAATGAATCATAATGCAATCGTATTATTGAACACCCTGTTATTATTTTTGAGTAGTGATCGACCGATATATCGGCCGGCCGATATATCGGGCCGATATTTGAGGTTTTTACGTGTATCGGAATCGGCCGATACACCGCTGCGCGTTCGCCGATAGTTTTTTTTTTTTTTTTCGGCGTTATTTATAGACAGGCAGCTCCGTGCTGCTGGAGATGCTGCAGTTCACGTGCCCCGCCCTCCCCCACTAGCAGAGTGCAACCTGCTCTTCACGAGAATGGTAACTTAAACTTTCAAAGGATCTTTTATGTTTGACTGCTGAAATATTGTCAAACACTTTGAAAATGGAAACCCGTCGCCCTATAACTGTTATGTGCTTGCAACTAAGCAAGTTTGTGGGTCCAAATGGAAAACGCGAATGCCTCGTCTATAAAACTTAACTGCTTGCCATTGTATTAGGGAGCTGCAAACAGCTAAGGTGTAGGCTATCCGTTCAGTATGCATTAGGACTGTCTATGAATATTCTACATTCGAATATTTATTAATTTTGAAGGTGAAAATTAATATTTGAATGTGGAAAAACACGCCCGCGGTTGCAGACTAATAACGTTACTATAGCTGCACAGGTCGCTCGGAGCACTCACTGTCGGTTATATACTGTGAAACTTCAATCACTGAATGAAGCCTGCTATATTTGGGACAAGAGTCGCGACTCGCAACCTTAAATTGCTTGCACAAAACTCTTGATCAGCACTCAACATTTGTTTGTTGATCATTTAACCGACGCGCAGAGAGCGTGAGGGCGAGAGAGAGAGAGAGTGCCTGTGCGAGACAGAGTGAGCTCTGCGGTCTTGGCCATTAGTTGATTTACTTGCTTTTTAATACGTTGTCAAATATGTTTAAACTCAAATAAACTATCTAATACTAGTAGTTATGTCTCTTTGTATTAATGTGTCCTGTTATTGACGTAATGCGCGTCAATAACAAAACGCGCAAAGGGATGTTCGAATATGTTTTTTAGAGGGAATATGCAAACGCCATTTGAGCAATTTTGACAGCCCTAGTATGCATACGGTAGCTGTTATGAACACTGGTCATAGGATTAAGTAATGCCAACGTTGTTCTGTGCTTTTTGTGGATTTTTATTCAGCGCCCACCTGGTTGAGGTTTGGACGCGTGTGGTGTGTCCCTCGCCATCGCAGTGATATTACAGACTAGACATGCAAATTTTATTTTATGTAGAAAAAAAAATGAAACCATGGCAGTACATAGTTCGTTTCTTTTAAAATGAAGTACAGTGTGCACTTTGCACTTTATTATGCTGGTT